TCGATGTTCGTTGATCCTGGTGTTGAAGCCACGTCTCGTTTCACCAAAGTAGGCCTTATCGCAACTGCTGCAGGGTATGCCATATACTGAACTGCTGGGGTTGCTTTTCAACTGCTTCTTGTATCGTATCAGATCATGGATGTGCTGGCGATTTTCACTGTTTTTCCAAAGTTTTTGCTAATCGCCTGGAAAACGTTACATGGAGGCAATATGAGGAAGTCAGAGGATGTCACTGTGTTTAATCTTGCAAGTATGCTCTCCGCCTTCTTTCTGAGGTGTAACAGGAGACCTTTTGGGTATTTATGTTGCATAAAAGAATTAATTACATATGAAACCTCAGTCTCTAGAAACTCAGGGCTGCAGATCCTCAGTGCCCGGAGAAAGAAGCCAATTACAACCCCAGATTTTGTTTTACTGCTGTGGGCGGAGTAATAGTGGATATAATCGTATTTATTCGTAGGCTTTCTGTATACAGAGAAACGTAGGCCGTCGTCACCCGATGGATCAGTGTGTCCAGGAAAGGTAACCTCTGATCCACTTCCTCCTCCCGGTGAACTGGATTTTCTCGTGGACGGAGTTCAGCCCGTCAGCGTATGGTATAAACACGTCTGGGGACGATGACGAGGAAATCATCTACGTACCGCAGCTAAATTGAGTCCTGATGGACTGCTTGGCTGAGCAAGTTTGCCTCCTTCAGCTCCGAGCCAGCTAAAATCCGGCGAGCATCCGTTCCCTGATAGTGCTCGGGCCTTTCTTGTGGAGGCCATCAGGATCTTGCAACATCGACTCTACGAACTCAGGAACGAGCTCGAGGGCGAACACCTACCCCATGGGCTGGTCCTCCACCTACAACAGGACGATCAAGCTCAACGAGCCAAGCATATGCAGAAACTACACTGCATATGTAGCATGAGTAGATGGTCGAAAGCTGGACGAAGTGATCTTAGAAACGTGTCTTCCAAACGCCTTACCCGCACGGAAAAGGAAGCTCTCTCCCTTGAACTCAAATTCAGCACCGGGAAGGACAACAAAGACTTGATTGACTATGTTGTCTCGAACCACCGCTGGACCGATAGTGACATCGACAAAGGGTTCATCCACGGGATTACTGCTTGCTGTGTGGCCGATGCGTCATCGCGCCCCCGGCGATCCCTCGCAGATATGTCACCGCGTTGAAGGGCCTCCGCGACGATGAGACCATCGTCATCACCCAGCCTGACAAAAGGTGGGGTACTGTTGTTATGGATAAGACTGCCTATATATATAAAATTAACTATTTACTTTCCGATACTTCTGTTTACAGGAAGTGACGAAAGGGGATGATGGAAGCTGCTAGATTCAGGAAGAAGGCGAGGGATATACTCCTGCGATCGGCTATCAAATTCTCATTACGCTAATAATAATTAATAGCACTTCAATATCAGGTTTCAGTTACATTGCATTTCGTCTTACAGGTGATAACCATGGCTTTACTTTGCCATAATCTCTTTAATAATACTCATCAGGAAGTGAATTGAATATAGTGAGTAGTTTAGACGGAACTCACCCTCGAAGTGAGCCCGACCAAATAAGAATCCCAGAAAATGGGAGAAGCTTTCATGTCACAATAGGCGATTGGCCTTTGCTACTAGAATCTGATGGGGATTTTCACCTGATATTTTCTCAGGTGATTTCAGGTTTTTGGATGAAATTTGTTACGGAAAACGGTGATGATCCCGTAACAAAAAGGTTAACGGTGGGCTACGGTTTTGGCTTGATGGACAGAAAGAAAATGAAAAGAATGATGGATAGGAAGAGAGAGAACGAATGGATGAATAAAGGATTGAGGCACATTAAAGTGTTAGTTATTGTAAATGTTTTTGTTACTTATTTTTTTATTATCATGCTCATGGTCCCCATTTTTTTCCGATGGTGATAATGATTATGATTATTGGTATCATTGTTGTTGATTGTTTTTGTTTTCATAACAATTATTATCTTATCAATGATTCTAGTATTATCATTATTATTATTATTATCATCATCACCATTGTCATCATTGTCATTATTTTTATTACATTATTATCATTATCATTAATTTCATTATGATACTATTACTACTGTTATTATTATAGTTATCATTATTGTCATTACTTTCATTGTTTTTATTGTTCTAGCATTAGTCCTTTCGTTACTATTATTTTGATAGTGTTTGTATAAATATCAATACTATTATCATTGGTATTATCATATCACATTAGTACCATCATTATCACAGAGGCAAATATAATGGACGATAGTTGCAATGGTTATATCACAGATATAATCATTCTAAGTATGGAATGACAGACTGTTGTATTCCTAGTAATTGCAACGATATTTTTAATATCCATGCCTTAATTGCAATGCTTTATTTTCATCCTTGCATATAATGTTAATATTATTACTATTTCTATCGCCATTCTAATATTATCATTACCGTTATCATAGATTGTCAGTGTGATGAAGAACAGCTTTCGAATCACCTTCATTGGCGTTGCTTTGTTCAGTATTCATATATCTGTTATCTATACCATCATAACAGTTTTGCATCTGTGAATTCTATCCTCTTTACTATCAGAATTTCCGTTATCACTCATGTTACTATAATTATCAGAAAAAAATTTTTGGGTTTAATGATGTAGTATCCACAATCATATTTTTTATTGGAATCATTTCAATGTAGCTAGTTCTCATTAATCATTAGTACTACAAAGGTGTGATGCATATTAGGAATCTAATCATACAATTACTAAGCCTATACCATTGATATATATATAATATATATATATATATATATATATATATATATATATATATATATATATATATATATATATATATATATATATATATATGTATGTATATATATATATATATATATTTATATATACATCTCCCAAATAGATATAATAAAATCGTTATATTATTAGCAACTATCAAATTGAAATGCAGTCACAAATGTAAACATGTTTATGATTGCAGAGCTTCAATGTAAAGTAGAATATCTAATTACCCTCCATTTGAAATCAAAATACTAAAGTGAAAATCAAGTTCCTCTTTCCTTATAATCCTACCAGACTATCAACTTTGGATCTTTAAAGCTTTAGAAAGCCTTTTCCCTTAGACCTTCCTCTGTAGGATAACACATGGTGTATACATCTGAGCGTCGGACACATCTGTTACTTGAGACGGCTTTCCCGCGGCTCGGTGAGAGAGGTCTCCCGGTGCCTTCTCCAGACCCAGTTGCTCTATTTCGTCCTTGGCTTCCTGGCTTAGGCTCAGACCCCAGCGCTCGTAGGTAAGGACTAGGTCGTAGCCCACGCTCTTGCTGAGGTTCTTGTACACATGGTCGATCTGCCGTTGACGATCTTGTGTCAAATAGTTGGCTTCTTCATCAGAAAGAGCTCGAGTTGTCCGATTAAGCTGACGGAACATTTCCCACCCTACTGGGAAGGCATGCTTGATCTCCATCAGGAACACCAACTGATCCCACACGTCTCCCTCGTCGAAGGTCATTCCATTGTCTACTTTATCAGCTGCTATGACGTAACTGTTCTGCTCTTCCAATCTGTCACTATCGAACAGCTGCTCCTGGATGTACAGCGAAAACAAGTTGACTGTTGATTCGCCACCATAAGCTCCTGACCAATATGGTCCTTGTTGGTAGTTGTGACCAAGTTCATGCCAACTTACCCAGTCATAGGGAGTGCGATTATCAGCCATGTTATAATACACACGCCAAAACATAGCCGGGAATCCAGCGTGGGCTGATCCAGCTGTGATCTGAGCATCGTTCACCAGCCATTGTTTACCGCGTGGTGGAGCTTCAGACTCATCAAAACCTGCAGCGTAATCTAGCATTCCCATAATTTCGTCATAACGAGACATCAATTCTTCAGGACTGGTTATTTCTCTTGCATCCTTTGTGGCAAGAACAACCACACATTTATCGATTCCATTAACGTCTGGGAGCATCTCTCATTTTGATAGTTTCCCATTCTGCATTCGATGTCTGTCCATAGCGATAGTATGGCGCTTCGACCACGTTCGTGACATCAACATCAACTGTGAAATGTTCCCCTTCACTGAACATAAATATGATGTTGCCTCCATACTGACTCCTGATCTCATTCACACCTGGCTTGACATCAAATACCTCAGACACTATGGGCATGCGGTCGTACTGTCCATTGATGACATTAGCAGAATTTGGTTGAAGCCAGTCAATGTGCGCACCAATGCGAACAGTGATCTGCAGTGCTTGTGCCTCTGATAAAGTTTCAGGCAGAATAACCTGACACACGTCTCCCACTGCTAGGTATAGGCCAGTGAGCTGCCAGTCCTTGGGAACTGTCATTCGGAAATCTCTGTCTTGTCCAAGTACAGATAGATCTAAAGTCACCTTCTTTGTAACTCTTGGTGTGCTAGCATCAACTGTTCCAGGAAAGGTAGCCACGTCTCGAGGGTGAGGAAGAGGATCAGACTTTGAACTCAGTTCATTCAGGATTCCTCTAGCTATTTCCTGCTTGTATGTTGTCTCATCACTACCAGGGAATGGGTAGACTGCCGGTGGAGCTCCTTCTAGATTTGTTTTCAAGTCGGAGAATTTCCACCACTTTTGATTGAGTCCATCATGAGGAGAATACAACACAACTTTTGTTCTTGGAGATTCCCAGGGAACATCGAGAGCATCTGAGCCAATCCTGAATCTCTCAGATTCGTCCATGGACCAAATTGCAGTCGAATTACTACTATCTTCTAGTTTCACATCCGAGTGCTGTAATCTGACCAAGCAGTAAGAGCGATTCCCTGCCCACTGCCATGAGCCGCCGAAGGGGAACCAGCCCTCTTCCTTACTTCCACTACACTTCAGGAGTCCAACTTCAGCATCACTTGGCACGGAACCACTGCGTACTGCGAGGCACGTAGTGGTACTCTGACTGATGAGATATTCTGGTTCTTTGGTTTCCACAGACTCAATCCACCATTTCTGGTTAAGGGCATCATGCATAGAATACAGTATGACTTGTGTCCTCGGCTCTGTCCATGGTACATCCAGCATCTGACCCCAACACTATTCTCTCAGACTCATCATAGACCCAGGAAGCTGATGAATTGCTAGTGTTCCCTAGACCTACGTTGTTTGTGCCAGAAATCGGCTCCAGACAGTATGAGGAGTTTCCTCCCCATAGCCACTGGTCCCCAGACCTAGTCCACTGCTGTCCCTGTCTCCCATCATACGGGGCCATGCCGACCACGGCGTCATCAGGCTTGATCCGCTCGTGACAGCCAAGCAAGTGTTGGTGCTCTGGTTCACGAGATACACTGTTTCCCCATCTTTGACGCCATACGTTATCGTCGGATTGTCTGAACGGGAAGAGTAATATATGGTTAGGTATTTAAGCTTCTTACACTCAAGACAGAGAGAAGACACAGTATTTTATAGAATATCTCCCTACTGTAAAGCAATAGCACTCACATACCTGTCATGGTGACCTAGTTGCAGGTCTCGTCGGTCCCCAGTCTGATGAAGGACCAAACCTTTTCGAAAGTGTAAAGCGTTCGTTCGATGGAGAGCATTATATACTCCAATGAACCTTATCAGAATCATTGGATTGTGGAAGGTTACTTACGTATAGCAACTACTATCAGTGCTGATACCATTAGGTATTCCTGATACCGCCCTATCCCTTGACCGCGCAATATAGTGACTATCAATGACACACGCATTATATATATATATATATATATATATATATATATATATATATATATATATATATATATATATATATATATATATATATATATATATATATATATATATATATATATATATATATATATATATATATGCATATATATTTGTGTATGTATGTATATATATATACTTACATGCATATGTATATGTATATATATATATATAATATATATATATATATATATATATATATATGTATGTATATATATATGAATATGTATATATATATGTATATATGTATGCATATACATGTGTATATATATTCATACAGACAAGCACACACATGCATACATGCACACTAACAGATATTTATGTATATATACATACTACACACACATATCCATAAATATATATATGTATACATATACATATATATGTAATGTATGTATGAGTATATATATATACACATGTATGTATGAATATATATATATATATATATATATATATATATATATATATATATGCATATACACATGTATGTATATACATACATATATGCATTTATGCATATATATGTGTTATATAGATAGATCGGTAGATAGATATACACATACGTATATATAACATATACATACAGAATATATCTAAATGCATGTAAGTATATGTAGATACATGCATACATACATAAACACACACAGACACGCACATATGTGTATATATGTATATATATATATATATATATATATATATATATATATATATATATATATATATATATTGTATAAATGAGTGGAGATGATAATATAAGCAAATAACAGACATTGTCATTCTGTAGCTTATTAGCTGAATATAGAGCATGTGAGTTATAAAGACTAAATCAGGTCTATATCTTATTTATGTATGTACATTGATTTTCTAGTCGTATTTGCCAAGGAGTGACACATGGTGTATAGTTACAACAATCAGACATGTTATTTGCCTCGGCTTTTCGTTGGGTCGGTGAGAGAGGTCCCCCAGCTTCTTCTTCAGACCCAGTTGCTCAATTTCATCCTTGGTTTTCCGAATTAGGCTTAGCATTATCCTCCGGCGCTTGTAAGTAAGGACCAGGTCGAAGCCCACGCTCTTGTTGAGATCTTGCACACATGCTCGATCTGCCATTGACGATCTTGTGTCAGATATTTGGGTTGATCGCCAGAGAGAGTTCGAGTTGTGCAGTTGAGCTGATGGAACATTTCCCACCCTAATGGAAAGGCATTTTATTCTCAGCCAAGTAGATCACCTCAAATAAACCACTGAAGACCCTTCATTTCCTTCGTACCTGCAATGGTTGTTTTGAGACTTCCTCGTCCGACGGAGCCTATTAGCTATGAGGCTTTTATATACCATTGGGCTGTTTTATTTTCCAAGGTAGACAATGCGTGCCGTGTTGTAAGAAAACAACAAAGATAAATGCATTCTAAAACTACTCGATAGGATTTTTCCTCTCTTAATTTTCACTAGATGTGTGATAATAATGTAAAAATCGGGTGTTATCTGATAAAGATTTTTATATCATTACCTCACGTCTCAGATTAATTTTCTTTCTGATATTGATTGTAATTATCAGCTACTCTAGTTGTTATCCTGAACATTTATCAAATTACGCATAACGCTAATAATGATTAATAGTGATTCAATATCACGGTTAAGTTACATTGCATTTCAGCTTACGGGTGATGGCCATAGATTTACTTTGCCATAATCTCATCAGCAAGTGAATTAAATATAATGAGTAGTTTAGACGGAACTCTCCCTTGAAGTGAGAGAGGCTTTCATGTCACAAAAGGCAATTGGCCTTTGCTACTATAGTCTGATGCGGATTTTCAACTGATATTTTCTCAGGTGATTTCAGGTTTTTAGATGAAATTGTGTATACGACGAAAGAGATGGTGTAGAACCGCTGAGATGTAGCATAACAAGTCACAGTGGAAACCCAGGAGTTCGAACCATTATTCCATATAATGTTAATATTCTTACTATTTCTATCGTCACTGCCGTTATGTTCTTATAGTATCATTACCGTTATCATAGATTGCCATTGGTGTTGTTTTTTCTGTGTTAATATATCTGTTGTGTACTATCATAATAGTTTTGCTATTTTGAATTCTATCCTTATTTCTATCAGAATTCTCATTATCACTACTGAAAATATATATTTTTTTTTTTTTTTTGGGGGGGGGTTAATGCTGTACTATCCACGTCATAATTTTTATTGGAATCACTTAAATGAAGTTAGTTATTAATCATTAATACTACAAAGGTGTGATGCATATCAGGAATCTGATCATCCAATTACTATCATACAGCAATGTAATCACTAAGTTTATACCATTAAATATATATAATAGATAGATAGATAGATAGATAGATAGATAGATAGATATAGATATATATTCCGAAATACATATAATAAAATCGTGCATTAATCATATTGTTTAGCAAATATCAAAATGAAATGCAGTCTCAAATGCTTAACATGTTCACAATAATTGCAGAGGCTTCAGTGTAAACAAGAAAATCTAATTACACTCCTTTTGAAATCAAAATACTTCCCGAAAGTGAAAATGAAATTCCTCTTTTCTTATCTTCCTACCATCAGTCTTCGAACTATCAACTTTGGACCTTTAAAGCTTTAGAAAGCCTTTTCCCTTAGACCTTCCTCTGTAGGATAACACATGGTGTATACATCTGAGCGTCAGACACATCTGTTACTTGGGACGGCTTTCCCTGCGGCTCGGTGAGAGAGGTCTCCCGGCGCCTTCTCCAGACCCAGTTGCTCTATTTCGTCCTTGGCTTCCTGGCTTAGGCTCAGACCCCAGCGCTCGTAGGTAAGGACTAGGTCGTAACCCACGCTCTTGCTGAGGTTCTTGTACACATGGTCGATCTGCCGTTGACGATCTTGTGCCAAATAGTTGGCTTCGTCGTCAGAAAGAGCTCGAGTTGTACGGTTGAGTTGACGGAACATTTCCCACCCTAATGGGAAGGCATGCTTGATCTCCATCAGGAACACCAACTGATCCCACACGTCTCCCTCGTCAAAAGTCATTCCATTGTCCACTTTATCAGCTGCTGTGACGTAAGTATTCTGCTCTTCCAATCTGTCACTATCAAACAGTTGCTCCTGAATGTACAGTGAAAATAAGTTGACTGTTGATTCGCTACCATAAGCATATGACCAGTATTGCCACTGCTGGTAGTTGTGTCCAAGTTCATGCCAACTTACCCAGTCATAGGGAGTGCGATTATCAGCCATGTTAAAATACAAACGCCAAAACATAAGTGGAAATCCAGCGTGGGCTCCTCCAACTGTAATCTGAGTATCATTCACCAGCCATTGTTTACCGCGTGGTGGAGCTTCAGACTCATCAAAACCTGCAGCATAATTTAGCATTCCCATAATTTCCTCATAACGAGACATCAGTTCGTCAGGATTGGTTACTTTTCTTGCATCCTTTGTGGCAACAGCAACCACACATTTATCTGATTCCATTAGAGTCTGTGGAGCATCTCTCATTTTGATAGTTTCCCATTCTGCATTCGATGTCTGTCCATAGCGATAGTATGGCGCTTCGACCACGTTCGTGACATCAACATCAACTGTGAAATGTTCCCCTTCACTGAACATAAATATGATGTTGCCTCCATACTGACTCCTGATCTCAGTCACACCTGGCTTGACATCGAATACCTCAGACACTATGGGCATGCGTTTGTACTGTCCATTGATGACATTAGAAGAATTTGGTTGAAGCCAGTCAGTTTGTGCACCAATGCGAACAGTGATCTGCAGTGCTTGTGCCTCTGATAAAGTTTCAGGCAGAATAACCTGACACACGTCTCCCTCAGCTAGGTACAGCTCCGTGAGCTGCCAGTCTTTGGGAACTGTCATTCGGAAATCTCTGTCTTGTCCAAGTACAGATAGATCTAGAGTCACCTTCTTTGTAATTCTTGGTGTGCTAGCATCAACTGTTCCAGGAAAGGTAGCCACATCTCGAGGGTATGGAAGAGGATCAGACTTTGAACTCAGTTCATTTATGATTCCTCTAGCAATTTCCTGCTTGTATGTTATCTCATCACTACCAGGGAATGGTAGACTGCCGGTGGAGCTCCTTCTGGAATTGTTTTCAATTCGGAGAATTTCCACCACTTTTGATTGAGTCCATCGTGAGGAGGATACAACCAAACTTTTGTTCTTGGTTCTTCCCAGGGAACATCAAGAGCATATGAGCCAATCCTGAA